CACTGAAGTCTCCAATTCCACATAACTGTTGTTATTTTGTCTCTTTTTTTTTTCACGACAAATATTGCATCAGAAGGCCATATTGTTTTCTGACTTTTTGCTAAATGGTTCAGTAAATGCCATATTTTTATGAGGTCTCTTAAATGAAAGTAGAAAGTCAACACTTCAATCACATCTTGGCAATTTAATTTAAAATGCAGCGTGGTGCCCTTTAAAGGTAAAATCTTAAAGCTCTGTCAATGCCCAAATACTTCGCGTGTATTTTTGTTGTGCTTGCATTCATGACACACGCAGGACCTGCTCTAAATAGCAGCTGTTGTTGTTGTTACAAAATGGCCTCTGTAACATCAGGTAGCACTTTTTATTGATTGTCTCACTGGCAGGGATCTTTAACAGCCTTGTTGGCTGTAAAGAGATGTTATGAGCGACTGTAGCCGTGCGCGGCTGCTGTTTGCAGACGCCCATTTTTTGCACCCTCAGACCAGCGAGCGAGAGGAATTCCATTTCGTTTTCTCCGTGGTAAACTGTGACTTTGTAAGGTCTTGTAAAGTCCTTGCGGAAACACGCTGTTTGGTCATACCAAAAAGGACGGCGTTGTAATATTTTTCAAGCTACTTTTGTGTAAAGGGAATCTTTGTGAAAGCAAAAAAAAAAAAAAAAAAGATCACCGCAACTGTCAATTCCCATGTCCACCATGACCTAATATGAGACGACCATACACTGTTTAAAGTGGAGTAAAATACGATACACTATATTGCATCATCTGGACTCTTCCAGTCGCATTATCAACATACCAAATAAAATGAGTGACCTGCATCAAAGTAGAGTGACACAGATCCAATATGAGACGGAGTCACGTTTTTATGGTTGTAATTGTCTTTTGGGTTTGTCACTCTGATCAACGAAAGGTCAAACTTGGCCGTGTGTCAGTCTCGATCAGTTCACACTCGCTGGCTGTGTGACTCACAGTTCCTAGAGGAGGACGAAGGAGCTCCAAGGTTGCGTGACTCCTAGCATCAGCATCATCAAGATGATCAACATCGGCCCTTGTTGCAAACGGCTCCGAAGTCTGTTGTGGGCGATACAGTGGAACTGCTGTCAAGTTTTATACAGTGATTTTTGATTTATTAAAAAAATATTCAGATTAAAAAATTGACAAAATACCCCCCCCCCCCGCCCCCCGAGTAGGACAAAACTCCCATTTTACTTGATACAAGTTTTCAACTTGTATCAAGACATTACTGTATAGTTTTTATACATGGGTTGACTTATTTTTACACTTGTGTGACAAGATGTTACTTAAAATGTTGTCAGTCGATCTGCCCCTGTTTCGGCCGTACCGTGGATCGTCTTTGACGTCAGGGCTTCCGCTGTATTTACTGAAATGAAATAAGATCGCAAAATGAGCATTTTGCATCAGTCACGACGTGCAATAAAAAAAAAATGTATATAAAGTTGTAGGTTTGGGCTGTATGTATTACATCAACTGACTTTTAAGACCTGTGACACTAGGATGTCAAGGATTCCAGGTATGAAATTGAAAGAGGAAGTCAAAAAAATGTTTCTTTCTTCATGATGACCGTCACGGCTCACCTGTTTTCCAGTTTTGGTCACATGATATTTTTGCAGGCTGATCCCTGAGGCACTGTGATGTCTTTTTCAGTCAATGGCAAGTTGGATCAAACCGATGGCTTTTGCATCTTCATTCATACTCCACACATGTTCATATCGATCGCAATAACTCGTTTAGACTAGTGGGTGGCGCATCGGGCATATTCTGAAGACAATTTTTGACTTGACATTAAATGCGTTTGTGTGAGGGGTACAGACAAAGCTGAAGCAGAGGATCTCTCTGATGTGTGAGCCAAAGGTAAAGCCTAACAGTGAACATCGATGACCTATTTATGCTCTCTCTCTCTCTCTCTCTCTCTCTCTCTCTCTCTCTCTCTCTCTCTCTCTCTCTCTCTCTCTCACACACACAAACACGCGCACGTACACACGCATACAAAATGCAGCAGGCAGACAGCAGTCCTATATTTTCTCCTCTAGCATTTTGAATAACTATTCTGGCTGCTGCCATTCCATTTGTTCCTCTTCACCGGCTGATTTAGAGTTGAGCAAAAATACTGTCATCCCAAAATCCGCTCCTACGCAATGAATAAATTAATTCGTTTTATTCCCATTATTCCTCATTTTGTGCTCACTGGATAGTAGTCTGGCCCCCTTAGCACAATCTGCTTCATTTACTTTCTGGGATTTGTCTATGCTAATTCACTGATGTCTGGTCCATTAATTAACAGTCAGCAGCGGTGGGAAGTAACGGCGTATGAATAATGCGTTCTTGTTCTCAAATAGAATTTTTCTGATAGCTGTATTTTACTTGTGTCGGCCTATTTATTTTTCTGACATTTTTTTTTTTTAACTTTTGCTCCCTACATTTGAAAACAGATGAGTGCACCTCTGCGGGTCAGTGTGTGTGATGAAACGTGTGCGTTCCGGACCCTTGTCTGCCATTGAGTCGAGCTGTAAGGACCTTGTCTTTCCCAATGTCGGCTCACTGATTCATGCTGTGACTCTGCCACTTAGTGATAGGATAATGCTTAGGGGCATTTGGAGACCACATCGCGTAGCTTTAAAGTCTGGAACATGTACACACACACAAAAAAAAAAAACTGTACTGTATACACAACCCTTTACAAACGTAAAGAAAAGGCAATATGGTGCACGATTGGTATGCACGTGGTCCTCACACTGCAGAGGTGCAGGGTTCGATTCCAGCTCCGGCCTTCCTGTGTGTGGAGTTTTTATGTTCCCCCCGTGCCAGCGTGGGTTTTAATGCGGGTATTCCGGTTTCCTCCCACATTCCAAAAACATGCGTGGCAGATTAATGGAGCCCCCTAAATTGTCCCGATGTGTGATTGTGTGCGTGAAAGGTTGTTCGGGGTGTCACTGTAAATGATAATTGGCAAAGGAACGATGCAGGTAGTGCAGGCCCATTGACTATTGGATTCATCACCGCATAAATGCATGTTTGTTTATGAGCCGTCTGTGTTCCCCTCGCGGGCTCCGTTCCAAACAGAAGCAGCGGTTTGCTGTTGTGTCGTTGCGGTCATATTGAGCTGTTGCTTCTTGACAGCTTGAAGCTGAGTCGTCGCTGAGAACTGGGTCAGTTTGAGCAGCAGTCTCCAAAGCCACCCTTTGTTTTGTCTCCGAGCGAAAAATGGAAAAACTGTGCCAGTTTTGGGCCCGATCTTCAAGATTTGTGTGTTTTGGTTTATTTCTTTTTTTATTTTTCAACCCCTTTGTAGAACTGAGGAACAGTTCTGTCCTCAGGCTTGTACTAACTCTGGGGGATTTATTGCATGTGTGATAGCTTTTCATTATTCCAATATTTGAACCATTGTGCACAAGAACATGACAATTTTTGTTTTTTGTTTTTGCCATTCATGTACAATCGAACTGCAGTCACTTGAAAGTACACCATGAAAAGGCTAAACAGGGTTGGCTGGAAACAGACATATTCCCCCTTTGCAAGTAAAGTATTTCATTATATCACAGAGTTCCGTATATCTGTATATATAATTATAACCTTACCCACCTTGCAAAAAAAGAAAGAAATGTCAGTATGGTGCCCGTATTGTCTGTTCTCGCGTGATATGATTGAGTAAATAACACAAAATTATTCGAATATTGCCGTTTGTCTGTGCTGGCAGAGAAGCCTTTGTTATTAAATTCTGGGTGCATATTATTTCTGTGACTTGCACTCAAGCATTCTCGCATGAAATCACTCTCAGACGTTATGCCTGGCCTGGCAGATGCATTATTTGAGTTAGCAGGCTAGAGGCTCGGCTTTTTTGTTTTTCCCCAATGTGTTTCCGAACGTGACACTCTTCAATTACTGCATTAGCATCCTTGCAAATAACAACCAAACCTCCCTTTTGGTTTCTAAGTGTGTCTCGAACATTCTCATACTTGTGTTTCTCAGTAGTGGCACCATTAAGTGCTATAAAGTGTTTGTTTTTTTTTTTCTTTTATGAATGGTCAAAGTTGAAATTCAGCGTTCTGTTTCATAATGAACACCAATAACATTTATACCATCTATATAGCGTACATACTGAATACCCCTAAGTGATGGTGGTGAATTTCTCTTCATCTTAAAAAAAAAAAAAAGTCACCCTTTTTGAGAGTTTCAAATTCCGAGGTGCCTTTTTCTTTTATCGAAGTTGAGCGACGCCGAGTCGTTCGAGATCTTATGGCCAGTGATGGCTGTGTCCATGTCGAAAAGAGTGTGTGGGAGGGATGACAGCTTGCTGGAAGGAACGTTCAAGCTCAAGTGATTCATCTCTTCTCTGCGCAAGGAGGAATAAAATGACTTCCAATTCGTGGCCGGTAAAAGGCCTCATCCTACGCACACATGCCTCATCGCACACCTGACCGATAGTCAAATATGACTTGAGTCACTGACTCCAAGTACTTCTCCTCACAGCTCAAACAGAGCGCATTTCTTTTCTGGCATCACGCGAATGCCTTTGTGGATGCACGGTGATGATAAATTCATTGTGTTTGTCAAAATGGAACAGGCAGTCTCCGTGCAACAAGGAGAGCGGAGGAGATGTATGCGTACATGCATAAATAATGTGGCTGCGAGAAGCTCCCAGTGTGCCACTTCCCCCATCAAAAGCCATAGATGAATTAGTGAAATGACAAATTATCTTAAATATCTTAAATGGATCCACGTCGCCGATGGGAGCTTGTCGGTAGTATTTTAAAGCCGTGTCATGATATGCAGCAAATCTCCTCGGCTTTCAGTATGATATTACTTAAGCCACAGGAAGCATGGATAATTTACTGCGGAGTGGGTGTAATTTTTATGAGACTTCAAGATAGCAAGGCGATCGGCTTCCTCTTTCTTTTTCAAAACCCTTCTCTCAAGAGTATCTTTACTCACTCTTCACGTATTTAACACCCTCTTCCTTGTCTTCCCTCTCGTTGTCGCACAGGTGCAAGTGACCCTGCCTGCAATAGGCGAGGAGTCCCAGAACCAGGGCCATGATTGGCTCACCTGGCCCTGGTGGGCGTGCCTTAGTGCCACGGCCGAAGATGCGGCGGGCGGTCCTGGCTGCTTCTCTGGTCGCCGTCTTAACTTTGACATTGCCGGGAAGTAGCCAGGCCTGTCCGCCGCGTTGCGAGTGCTCGGCTCAGCTGAGGTCGGTGTCGTGTCAGCGGCGGCGGCTCACCAACATCCCCGAAGGCATCCCCACCGAGACACAACTCCTGGATCTCAGCAGGAACCGACTCCGATGGGTGCAAGCCGGCGATCTGGCACCGTATCCCCGGCTGGAGGAAGTGGATCTCAGCGAGAACCTCATCGCCACATTAGAACCGAACTCCTTCGCAAGTCTGCCCAATCTTAAAGTGTTGAAGTTGAGGAGCAACCAACTGAAATTAGTGCCCATGGGGGCCTTTGCCAAACTGGGCAATCTGACCAGCCTGGACCTGAGTGACAACAAGATTGTGATTCTATTGGACTACACCTTCCAAGATCTGAAGAGTCTGAAACACTTGGAAGTGGGAGACAATGACCTGGTGTATATTTCCCACAAGGTAGTCGTTGTGATTTGAATGATTGCATGAAACAAACCATTTGCAATTCCCTCAATAAGCAATGTGTGAATGTGTGGGACATTGTTGACGATGAAAAATAGAAAGATTCAATTCAGTGTCATATATTGCGGAATACGCCCTGTGATTGGCTAGCAACCAGTTCAGGTTGTCCGAAGACAGCAGGATGGATATCGCAGGATACCACAGCAGTTCCCAAATAGCCCAAACACCTGACCTCAAGCCTTGCGCTTGGCAGAGCGATCTGATTGGATGGATGGAAAGTATTTCAGGCAGGGCCATGGCATCATTGCTACATCGCAGATTTTCTGGCAAAGCCTGGTACATACATCGAGAAGTCCGAACTTGGTGTGACCAAAGCAATGAAAAGCCCAATTGTCAGATGTCTCAAAGGATTATCATAGTGGGGTGTCCTAAGAGCGATTTTTCATTTTTTTTTTTTTCTCCTCAGTATGTGCAGTAAATGATTGGTGCTGGCAATTTTAGACGTTCAATTAACATGACATCTTTTTTCTTTTTTTTTTTTTGCATGATAGTGTCTTAAAGCAACACTTACATTGACCACGTAACCCTCTGTTTCTCAGGCATTCTCAGGGCTACTGGGACTGGAAGATCTCACCATAGCTCGCTGCAACCTGACGTCCATCTCAGGGCAGACCTTGTCCTACCTGCGCAGCCTGGTCACCCTGCGCCTCCATCGCCTCAGCATCACAGCTCTCGAGGACCAGAACTTCCGAAAGCTCTCAAATTTGAGAGGTCTGGACATCAATCACTGGCCATACCTGGAGTACATCTCACCTCTTAGTTTCCACGGTCTCGATCTCCACTGGCTCACCATTACCAACACCAACATCACCTCTGTCCCGTCTGGTTCCTTCAAAAACATGGTGCATCTCACCCACCTCAACCTTTCCTACAACCCCATCGCAGCACTGGAACCGTGGGCCTTCAGAGACTTGCTGAGGTTGAAGGAGCTCATCATGGTCAGCACAGGGTTGATGACAGTGGAGCCCCACGCCCTCGGAGGTCTCCGTCAGCTTCGGGTCCTCAACTTCTCATCCAATGACCTGCAGACTTTGGAAGAGGGTTCCTTCCACTCTGTTAACAGTCTGGAGACGCTCAGAGTGGACGGGAACCCTCTCATGTGTGACTGCCGTCTGTTGTGGATCCTGCAAAGGCGCAAGACCCTCAACTTTGACGGCAGAGTGCCGGTGTGTGCAGGGCCTGTGGAGGTGCAAGGCGTCAGCCTGAGTAGCTTCACTGATTCTGCACTCTTTGATCATTTTACATGCCAGAAACCTAAAATACGCAACCGCAAGCTCCAGCAGGTAACCGAGTATTATAATACCTGGTATGCACAATTTCTCAGCTTGACTAGTTTAGTTGAATTTTTAGCCACGCTCTTGTATACTGACAAAACATTGTAGGGGGCAGCGCGTTGAGCTAGTGGTTAGCACATCTGCCTCACAGTTGTGAGGATCAGGGTTCCAGCCTCGGCAATGCTTCCCGTGTGGGCTTTGCATGTTCTCCCTGTGCTTAAAAGGATTTTTCTCTCTGGGTGGTCTGGCTTCATTCCACATTCCAAAAACATGCATGTTTGGTCCATTCAAGACTCAAAATTGCCTTGTAAAAGGTTTGTTTATATGAGCCTTGAGATTGTCCGGCAACCAGTCTATGGTGGACACATCGCCTCTTGCGAACATTGACAAGCCACGAGTAACTGACGCAACCCTGGAAAATGGTATACAATCAGGGGTGCACAATCGTGGCGTGCCGGTGCGCATGAGCACTGGAAATTGAATATTTTTCTTGCACTCCAGTTCAGGTCTGTCATTGTGCTTTTGCACATTACAAATAAGTCAGGCCGGCCTTTTTTTTAAAGTCACTTTAACTGCCACAACCACACAAAAGGCCTAACTTCAAAATAAAAGCTGAGTAAGGCATTGTTATCTATGTACAGTATTAGCTGTTTGGCTTTTATTTTGAAGTTAATCCTTGTTGCGCATTGCATAGTAGTCTGTAATCAACCATTGTGGCGGGTGGCTTTATTAAGCTGGCTCCCCACTAGCGCTACATTCTTCGTGAGACTGTGGCCACTGTGTGCATGAGAGCCGCCGGCAAGTCGTTAATATCCATGTCGCTCCGCTGCAGCTTTGACCATCCGTCAAAAGCGGTCCGTAGTGCAAAACAAACTGGACTGTGGACGGCTGCCTTAGAGAATATTTGCTCAGTAAGCTACCGTCCCATACTGCAAGTCAAATGTGGGCAATTAATTTATCGAACCGGCCGTGCAACTCAATTGTGTTGAACATGGCTTTAATGTCTTTATCGTGAAACAGCAAATTAGAGAGTTTTATTTAGCTGCCATTATGTGGCTCTGCTTGAATCAAGAAATTAAAATGGAAAACTGGAAAGAAAAACAGAAAATTGTTGATTCAGTTATATTCAAATGGCAAATCTACCTTGCCCAGATCTGCCGGAATCATCCATGAGGTCAGTTGGTTGGGAAAATATGTAGCAAACAAACAGCAACCAGCCTCTGGTGCTCATTTGAGAATCATGCCATCGTTTTTATGTGCGCCCCTGTTCATAAAGATCTTTAGATGCCACAAAATGGTGGTACAGTAAAGCACTACTTTTCAATTAGACAGGGCTATGGCCTTTCTAAATAAAGCTCCTCCCCCCCACGTCAGCATAGTTCTTTGACACTTAGATGCCACAAGAGGGTGATAAAGTATATTTTTTATGAGACAAGGCGTTGGCTGAATATGTGAGTTTTTCAGCGAATAGCGTAAAATAGGTCCCCCCCCAAAAAACTGTCGAGATTTCTCTGACACATCAGTTGTTCGTTTCATACATTTTGCTACATCAACTGATTAGCATTTACTAGTCAGTTTGCTGCTTCCCCGCATCTTTTTTCCAGGTGACTGTTCGAGAGGGCCAGCCCGTGAATTTCCTCTGCCGTGCTGAAGGAGAACCGGCGCCTGCTATCATCTGGATATCCCCACAGCGTCGACGGATCACGGCTAAAAGCTCGGGCCGCATCACCGTTCTCCCAAGCGGCACCTTGGAGATCCGCTACGCCCAGCTCACTGACAGCGGAACATATATCTGCATCGCCAGTAACGCCGGGGGCAATGACACCTACTTTGCTACTCTGACAGTACGCAGTCAGCCACTGGATGCTGCCTCAGCTTTTTTTCTCAATCGTTCGCTGTACAGCGGCGAGTTCTTCAATGAAACAAACCTGAATAGCACTCGGGTGTTCCTCAAATTTACCTTGGACTTGACAACCATCTTGGTCTCCACAGCAATGGGTTGCATCACCTTTCTGGGGGTGGTCCTCTTCTGTTTCCTACTCTTGTTTGTCTGGAGCCGAGGACGTGGCCAACGCAAGAACAACTTCACAGTGGAGTACTCGTTCCGCAAATCTGAGCCGGTCACGGGGAGCTCTTCAGGAGGGACCAGGAAGTTTAACATGAAAATGATATGAAACAACGCAGCCAGGGGTCCCTCGGGGGAGGCATGAGCACGTCTCAAAAACGTGTTTGACACACGCAAACACACACAGCCATTGAATCGCAAAAAAAAAAAAAAAGTTTGAGTAATGTTAAAACAGGAGCCAGGACCCAATTTAGGATTGGGTCTGTAAAAAATTCAAATCGTGCCGTAAGAAAATACAACAGTGATGGAAATGAAAGAGCTGGGCATCTTTCGTGCTTTTATATCAATTACAGGAATTGTAAAAATTGGCTGAACTATAAGGACAAGAGTGGTCTCGTTTCTGGTTTCATTAATGGGGGAATTAAAAAACAAAAACATTTTCATGTTTATTTCAATTTCCCATAGCTGCTCTTTTGCAGTTTGATAAATTAAAAGACTTGCATTCATAGATTTTTTTTGTTGTTGTTTTTGTTTTGCTCTTCAGTAAAGGACGCCATGTTTAGAAGCATGCATTGCAGATTGAGTCAGACTGTATGTTGTCAACCCTGACTTCTGCAGGGGTTAAATCCTTCATTAATGTTACCATTTGTCATTTGACCAATTGTACGTAGACCATATGAATCGATACAAACAACTTAACAAAGAATCTTTGGATTGACAAAACAAAAAGAGGATTGGGGTTCTATTGCGATCTATTGCGACATTAGCTGTGTGAGTTTGGGACGAGCACGCTGGCCAGGGGTTGTCATCGTGCTCTGTGAACCATGTGGTTTGATTCAAAGTCAAGCCCTCTGCAGACAGAACACCATGGCAACCAATACAACCAATGCAGGAGAGAGTACGGGCTACTGGGTTGTTTGCCACAAGTGAGTTTGTGGGTCAACGAAAAAGGATGAAGAGCATTAAAAGCCAAATGCGTGACCTGCAATCGACAGGCGAGAGGTGCTCTTTTGTCCCCCAGCCTTTGTCCCAGCTCTCTGCTGCGTTGGTGGACATCTGACCTTCCAAGCGCTGCCAGGGGGGGAACAGCCTGGATGGTTGGCACCTACTCAGAGGCAGACAGAGGACACGCAGCAGTCGACACACTGACACATGCGCAATCATTCGCACACAAGGAATGACGACACCTTGCAGTACATGGACAGATTTTTTTTTTTTTCCTCAGGAAAAGCCAAATTATTATCGTGGGTATCTGCTAGAATATTCCAGCAATAGTCTTTGTTGAGTCATGATGATGAAATTCATTGCCCCGAGGTAAAGCCGATGTAGATTTATGCATGATGAAACGAAGCCAGAGCAATTGTGGTTGCTTTGATGGAGTATTTTAAAGCCCGTGTCGCAAACAGACTTTAATTAGTGCAACGATTAACTATCTCCTAGCGCCATTCATTAAATCCAACCATAATCGCATACAGCGGATGGAAAAAGTCACGGTTCAAATGCCATGTTTGTGTGATATAAATAAGGAGACCAAGGAAAATTAGTTTTTCCACCTTAAATATGACGTATGACATGTACATTTCAATAGAAAAAAAAAAGGTCTGATTTTAGTGAGGGCAAGCCGGATGAAAAGGAATCAGGGAACTGCAAGAATTTCTCGCAGGTACTGGCTGTTTAGTGCAAGTGAAAACAACCTGGTCACTTTATTTTTATTTCTGTTACTTGTTACTGTAATACTAGTGTGGCTTGTACTACCGGAGAGAAATTCCTTGTGCGTTTTTACATACTTGGCCAGTGCAGGCGGTTACCATTCAGTCATCTTCATTCATGCTTCTGTTAGAAAGCAAAAAAAAAAAAAAAATGTCAGGAAAAGCAAACAAGAGCATCAGAATTTCTTTGGAGTCACCTCAAATGGTGGCAGGTGTGTCCTGACTCTCATTTAACGTGACTTTGAATGTGTTTGGATCAATATGAATGCAGTCACATCATTTGTTATATGGAGGGGGGTGCACACTTGTGCAACCACATTATCTCAGGCTTTTCAATTGAGTACATATTATAGGTCGTATAAATGGTTGGAAAAGTTTTGAAATGATTGCTCTTGGTCTACCGATATATATTTTTGTAATAGCACATAAAACTGGCATTTGAATGGGGGTGTGTGGACTTTTTATATCCACTGTAATAAGTACACAGCCACACCACAAAACTCTGTCTGCTCTTTCTCTGTCTCTGTGATGGCCCGTGTGCAAATGTCTCTGCCTCTCCTAGCCCAGTGCATCCCCCCTACTTACCCCCACCTTCCCCCATACACCCCACTGGGTCCTCCTTTTGGGAGGGGTCCCTGGCTGGAGACCGTGGATACAAATGTAAATGAAGTTGTGTTAACCCTACCCACAACATCTGCATTGTGCAGTGGAAAGTCGTACTGTGGTTTTGAGAGTAGCTTTTCATGGAGCTGCTGTGTTGTTTCTTTCTGTTGTTCGTCCTCCAGTTTTGATTTGCTCGTCTTTCGTCATCTGTGACACATTCACTGTGAACCCTTTTCGATCTCCCGCTTCTCCGTGTGGGCCTGTTCTGTTCTCAACACATACCTAAGATCCCTTGACAGCAAGTTGGGGTTTTGGTGGGTTGAGATTGGCTGGAAAAATGTTATAATCCATCCATTTTCATTTCTGCTTATCCTGCTGAGGCAATGGAACCCAATACTGGTCACCAGTCAATCACACACTAATTAAGATATATTGTGCAATGTTCAAGTAACATTGAAATGATTTTAGTATTTATTTATTTTTTTTATGTAGAAGATGCCACACAAGAGAAAACTACATCCCTCCTTCAGTAAGCTGTTTAGTATCGACATGTTACGTTAAAAGGGAAGTTTCCAGTGTTAGCAAGATTTCAATGTAGTTTCACGGCTCAAATCAACCGCAACAGTCTCCGACCAAAGCGCCGCCGTCCCTTACTAAATACTCATTTTTATTAAATGTTCATAGTTGTGAAATACTCACAGAGAATATCTGCCCATCTCCAACAAAATAGCACGGCTAGCAATAACAAGCGAGCATTAGCACTGTAACCAAGCGAACGTTAGCTACGGTATTGATAATGGAGTCTTTCTTTCTATGACACTGAATGTCATCAGTTGACGTCTATTTTTTTGAAATGCACAATCACTCTTCAGTCAAAAAGAGGCGATAAACCTGCCTGTCAAATAAATAGCAATGTTGTTTCTAAATCCTCTCAGCTACCTGAAGTCCCTTTTAGTCTGCTTCGTGTTTGCTCGGCTTTGGAGCATTTTTGGCAAATGAGGCATTTTTAATTTTAAAAATCATGAATCAATTCAGTTTCTAATGCTCATCGAAACACAATAATATAAACATATCTTACTCTTGGCTATTTAGAAGTTTCCATACACCAACCATCAAGTTTATGGCCAAGTTAATACGTAACATAAACGCCTTAACATTAATGAATGAGAAACAGATGAACTTTCTGTAGTCCTATTACCTTCCCGGTGTTAAGAACAGAACTGCCCCATCATGGTTATTTCCTCTCGCTTATCAAGCCACTTGTGTTTCCATTCGTCCGTATTCCTCAGTGAGAATTAGGCTTAGAAGACACCAGGAATGTCCCGTAGTTTTCTGCGATGGTGTTATTATTGTGTGCACACGAGTCATAATATAAGAGTAGGTAAGGGTGTGTTTTATCGTTATCGTCCTTCTCTGTTTTTCTCCTCTTTGCCATCTTCCTCCCTCCGGGCATTTTGGCACCCTCCTCGTTGACACATTTCTTCTAAAGTTCACAGTATTAGGCTGGAATGTGGTTGTGTGGTAGTAGACAAGTGTTCTGTGTGGTTGTTGAGTCAAGTGTCGTCATGTTAGGAATGGTGGATCTTTGGAATGCTATTAAAGCACTTGTTAGATGGGTGAAGTTAAAAAAAATGGAAGGGGTGACCCAGGTTTCCTTAAATGAAAAAAAAAAATCCCACCTTCTTGTCCAAAAACATGACTGGGACTTTCCTACTGTGCACTGGGATCATTCACTGGAGTGAGTGTGCGGTTTTATCGACAGATTTCTTCTCATATGCACTCACGCCTGAAAAAGACGTGACCCCAATCCAACTGAATATTATTCGCTGTTGTCTGCAGCGTATTCATGAGATGTTGACATTTTATTGAAGGATAGAAAGCTCTCATATCCAAGAAATGGTCCCAAGAAATGAGGGGAAAAAATGTTTTCAGCTTCATTTGCCAGCATCTACTTGCGAAGCCTCTGAATCAACACTTTCTGATTATTCCCCCCATAACCATCGAGTACCTTGAAAGCCTAAGTCATCGCCTCAGTCCACGGCTCGATTCATCTCGGCTGTGATTCCACAGAAAGAAGGCTTAGCGACGCTCCCCCTCATCGCACCCCATTTCCCTCCTCCGGTTTGCCCTTGCCTGAGGTTAGTTTATCGTCGTTGAGATGCTCCATTTACAGCAGCAGCAGCAGCAGCAGTCTCGCTATTGGGAAATGTTCCAAAGGGAAACGCTTCAGAAATGCCGACCAAAATAAGACACACACACACACGCACGCACGCACGCACGCACGCACGCACGCACGCACGCACACACACACACACACACACACACACACACACACACACACACACACACACACACACACACACACATTGTAGCACTGCTATCAGTTAAAATTGAATTACGTCTTTTATTCTGTTTTCAAGACTGAACTTGCCTAATTAAAAAAAAATAATTGCATTTAAAATAACTCCTTTTGGAGCAGAATGTAAGATTTGACCATCACCTTTGGGCCTTTCATCATTCCATCTGCGTCGAAAAGAAAGCATCTTCACTCCAGCTCCCACAGCTGCTATTTTGATTGGATTAGACTTGAGTCGCATTACCATAGCTGAGGGGGGTTGGGGGGGGGCATAAATAGGATGACAGGGAAGCCAGCTTGGCTGATTTGGTGATTACTCAGCCTATTAGTCACATTTCCAAAACAGACCTCTCAGACCAGAGTGCCATAGAAATAGCTGAGGCCATTATTGACACAGAAATATGACCCATAGTGGAAATAAGACACCGGATGCAAATGACTGTGAGTGTAATTGTCAAGTTCAACAGTTATTTCAATTTTGTTATATGAAACTGTGATGACTGGACCTTGTCCAGACCATTTCCAGCAACCGTTCCAATGTGGCAGTACAGTCCTGTGCTAACCCCAAGTGGTCACTGAGAGTAACAGCCAGAGCGAGGGATGCCGCTGCTGCTGCTGCTGCTGCTGAACTGCCGGGAGATAACAGCTTTCGTTTCTAGGTAACACATGATTATGTGGAGACCAAAATTGACTGTTGTGATCATCGACTAGTCAGTGCCCGAATGATTTCCTCACAGGCTTCCAATAGATCAAAAGCAACTCTTCTTTTTCTTCATTATCCTCACCGCCTACAAAATATAGCGCTGGAGACAAAAAAAAAAAAAAAAAAAAGCATCTTTCTCGTGGTGGACGCATGTGGAATCTATGCATTGTCTTTGCAGTCATTGGTCACTTCCTTTCACCCTCGAGTGTCAGTGTTGCTGGCCATGGGACTGATGATGCTGAGTTGATCTAAAAAGTCAACAGACCCCTGTTCAAATGCCAGTTTTTTCATGAAAATTATATGATCAGGTTCAATGATTTTTAAACGTTTAGAATTAACCAATCACATTGATTGTTAGTAAATGTCAGAGATTTGAGTCGTCTTTTCCATACATTTTTGTCAGTTTGTTTTGCTTTCTAGCACAAGTCTGAAGGTTTCTTAAATATCACAAAAATCTGGCATTTGAACAGCGGCGTCTAGACTTTTTATATCCACCGTAATGCTCACCATTAATATGTTGCTGTTCACGTGGGATGACGGTAGGTGTACAATATTAACATACAGAGAGTTTTCTGAGGTGTACAGCGATAGACGATTAGTATTCCAAGCATGCTGGTCGGTCTAATCAATGCTGTGTGGGGACCAGATTATCAATGGCATACGTTCATTGATCTAACTTGAACCTTGTCACTGGAACAATTCCTTTGACGGAGTGGGATGTGTAAAGAGACCTGCTTGGCACTCATTTCTAGGTTTACACATTACCTTTTAAAATGAATCAAGAACAATCTTTTATTTATAAGTTTATTTTTCCCCCCCAAAGGTCAAAAAGTGATGTAACACATTCTCCGATATTGAAGGAATTGCTGGAGCGCTGGAATACAAAATAGACAATTGTGTCACATTACGTCGGGGTTCTTATCCTGTCATTGAATTCTTCAGAATGCTTAAATATCTTTTTTTTCTTTTTCTTTTTCATGACAAATTTATATTTGCGCCTCTTGAATATGGTCCTTACTTCCTTAGTAATGGATATTGATTGCTCCAACTAACAAACATGCTGGCTCAAAATGAGTGATCATTAAAACAAAGGAGACTGTTATGAACCATTTGTGAACTCTCTGATCATCCAGCTGTCTCATTTGAAAAAAAAGTGTAAATCCTGGAGTATGAAGAATGTACATATAGATCTATTAGCCATATGGTGTCATCAAATCTGTAGACTTTGTTGCCATGTCTGACAGAGGAAAATGACTGTTGACTGTAAATATTATAGGTATAGTCAGATTAGAGTATAGTTATATCAAAAAAAAATAGTCCTTGTTTTTTTTTCCTCCAGGGACCATGCATGTTTTGCTCAGTCCCATGGCTGCTTGGTCTCACTGGGAAAGAAAACACAATAATGTAATCATCGCCAATAAAAACAAAAAGAACAAGTTCTTTTTCTATTTCGTCATATGTTTTATATGCTGGCTGTCTTGTAAAGTATG